TTATCTTTATAAAAAAATTATATTATTAATCCAAATATAAATTACTTCGTTATTGTACATAAATTAAATTATAAAAAATTGAATTAAAAAATTACACAAAAAAATGAGAAATTTCAAATAGTTAATTTGATACTAATATCGATATATTTTTGTCAAATTTTTATGATATCTTCAAACATATATTTTGTGCAAAAATAAAAACATCATCGTTTTCTCAAAATCACATAAAACCATATTATAACATCGACTGAGAAAAATAATAAAATGAAATATTAAAATTACAATGTATCTCGCTGCATTGCGCGAGTACGCTTCTAGTAAATCTTATAAGCCAAACACTATAAAGATTTCAAATCCCTATAATTTCAAATCTGTATACGAAATTCAAGACTTTCAAAAATATTCCATCAAATTAAACGTGTTTTAAGTATATAAGCATGTATCAAATAATCGATGAATTAAAAAAACATTAAGGGGCTGTTTACATAAATGTTTACCCGGTAAGTGCTTACTGTCAGGAGCCAACACTATAATTTATTTTACCAGGTAATGTTGTAGTATATCAAAATGGTATCATATGCAACAATTTACCCGGTAAGCACTTACCCGGGTAAGAGTCGTCACCCTCACTTACTGAGTAAGACTCTCCATCTTTATCGTTGCTCTTACCGGGTAAGATTTTTGACTCTTGTCCTATTCATCCGGTAAAGAAATTACCCGATAAACACTTACCGGGTATGGGGCTGTTTGGCAATTGCTGAATGGTTTGGTGCAGAATGATTAAGTGGTCAGAATAATTAAGAGACTCTCATGATATAGTGCAAAATAAAATATAATTGTTTGGTAATTGTGTACAATAAAATTAAGGCTCTTAATGATTAAGGGAGATCCAGGATACAAAATCATTCAGAGGGTTTAAGAACCATTAAGAGACAAACTTTTTTTTTGCCAAACAAGATTCACCTCTTAACGATTCAGAGGTTGTCTCTTAATGGAACTATTAAGAGGTAAACAAAGAACTTCTAAACGTTTAGTAAACGGACCCTAATACTTCATAGCCAAAAGAAACCTGGTCAATATTTTAGGAGGTAATATTCTAGTTTCAAAATTTGCCAAACATATAACACAATTGTGAGTCATATGATTTCCAAAAAAAATACTCATCCTCTTCTTCCTCCAATAGCGGCTTCAGCAGCTGCAATAGCTATAACAAAAATGGAGAAAATGGCTACAATAAGTTTATTGAACGTTTTTGAACGTCTTGACAAGTTTATGGACCATTTGTTTAAAAAATTGCCCTATTAATTGTTTATATGATATTATTTGAAAAATTGTCTTGATGAAACGTCATATCTAAATACATTGTAATATATTTATATGACGTTTTTGGACGTCGTAACAAGTTTTTTAGGACACTTTTAATAAAAAGTCACATTAGCTTAAAAGTGTCATACAAACCCATATTTTTATATAACACTTTTTTCAAATAGTCTCTTATATATAAAATAGCTAATATGACTTTTTTTATTAAAAAAAATGTTGTAGAAACTTATTATGACATCAAAAAATGTCTTATAAACTTATTGCAACGCTTTAGATACGACATTTTATTTTTTGGTGCTATAAATTGCAATCTTATGAAGCAGTCTATTAAGACACTTACAATTTTTTGACATCCTATAACCCCAATTTCATTTTAGTGTAATACAATACTCTATTTGAAAAATGTTTTAGAAACTTTATTAAAAATAAAACCGTATATTAGAACATTTAGACATTTGTTGTTCTATAAACACGATATTGACATTACTGTATCTAATTGATACAAGTCATAAACCCCAAAATTCCTTGACATTATCATCTTGGAAAACCGATATCAGGGTGGTGCCCTAAACCAGGAGAAAATGGGGGAGCGGGGGCACATAGATTTAGAAGATAAACGAGGAAACCCTAAGAGTGTTATATATATATATATATATATATAGAGAGAGAGAGAGAGAGAGAGATATTTGGGATCACGTGAGACCAAAGGTTTTTCTTGAGACCTGTAGATTAGATCTACAATTTGAACATTTATAATCACAAAATTACCACGAGACTTCTCAATAATCACAAAATTATCACCGTACAACTTTAGACCATTAGATCATTAACTTATAAAGTTGATCAATGAACATAAATTGGTCTTATGGGTCTCACGAAAAACCCTTGATCTCACGCGAACCCAGCCGTGTATATGTATATATTAGTTGTGATTGGGATTTTGTATCTTTTTATGAAATAATTGATTATATTACTGTAGAAGATAAGTGTGATTGATGATGGGGATGTTGGAAATGGTGTAGGAAGCATGTGAATTTTGTGAGCTTGTTTGTCATGGGCATTGGCATGGGCAATGCCACCCTTTTCTCTGATATCTCCCTATCTCTCTCTCATCCTTTTCTCCAATCACACACACAACACACACTCGCTCTCTCTACACATCATACATACATATATATGTATGTATATATATATACACACACACACTACCTGAAGAAAACAGACTTCTCACAGAGATGATTACTTGATGCACATTTGAAGCTGGTTGAGTAGTGTAGCAAGCAAGAACTCAAATTACAACTCATCACCTTTCACTTGCAACAAAAGCTAAGGTAACCCTACTTTTCCTCACCACCTTCATGCATGTGTTTGTATGCTATTCTGGATGGCGTTGTATCGATTTGTTACAAATGCAACAAGTATATCTGATCATAGCGATACAACGCCTTCAAAAGGACGCAGACGACTTGATACAGAAAAAGTAATCCATGCTATGGCATATAAAATGTCACGCGTTCATATCTTATGTGATTTGGTGTTTCTTGTACTTCTCCCAAATTAATCGTCTTTCTTGTTTGAACTTCTCCCCCTATTCACACACATATACATATTAATTGAGTTGAGTTCCGGTGAGAATGAAAGTTAATGTAAGAAGCGTTATAAACACCCATGGATGCACATTAGAATGAGATGCAACGAGATGATGCACCGAGATGTGTCGGATCAATCCCCATATCAAGCATGATTCGTGGGTGAGTTTGAAATTAAAGGTGATCAAGGGTCCAGATCCCTTCTTACACTTCTCACCAGAACCCAACCCTCTATATATATATATATATATATATATTGGTTTTCTCATGATATTTTGGTCGTAAGATATATAGAGTGTTTGATTTGAAGTTAGTTCTTGCTCTTTTCAACAAATAAATGTTGACATCTACCCTTGTTTGGACTCACATCAGTCCTATTGTCCAGCGTACACACATGGTCCATAGCAACTTCAATAGACACATATTTTATAATAAATTTTTATATATTTTTTTAAATAAAGTTTTACATTATTATCACCTTTTATTGGTGTTCTACATCTATTTCATAACATCTTTTTTTTTTCTTCTAAACAGTGGTGGATCCAAAAACTTGTATTATTGGGGGCACGTTTAAGAGTGTCAAAAGAAATTTTTGAAACCAAATAACTCATTCGAACCAATACGATTTCGGGTTATTTGGTTTTCAGATTAAATGGTTCAGTTATCGAATAAATATATAACTTATTCAGTTTGTTTTTCAATTAATTTTTGACTATTTTGGATAAACCGAGACATCATATTGTCATGTACATATTTTACTTTTCGGTTAAACCAAAGCAAATGAACACAGTACACATTAATAGTTAGTAACAAGAAATTAGAGAACAAGAGGTCGATAACTTAGATTCAGTTAAAAAAAATCAGATAGCAAAATGCCAAGAAATCAAAAACAAAAGACAAACTAGTAGCAAACCTTAAATCAAAATAACAAACCCAAATTAAATAACAAATTAAAGAATCCTACATCAAATAACAATTAAGAAAGAGAAAATTAATAATTAACAAATAACAATAATTATAAATCTATAAAACAATAAAATGCAAAAAGAAAGTTGGAAAAAATCAAATAGTGATTAATCAAATCATTAGTATTATAGCAAACAAAATAAGAAAAATAAAATGATTTTCAACAGATTGAGACTTGAAACTTAAGCGTTTAATTGATCTTTAAAATAATGACTCATTGAAGTAATAGTTATAAATAAGATGCATATATAAATTTAGATTTGTAGTCTTTCCTTTAATTGTTGGGGGCCTATTAATAATTCTTGGTTAATTTTTTTTTTAAACCTAACACTCATGCTTTATTTTGGGGTGTTTATTGGGAATTTGGGGTTAGCTTGTTGGGGGCCTGTGCCACCTACCCTTTTGGTGTGCATCCGCCACTGGGTTTAAATACTTTTAATCATTCCGAAATCTAAAATTCAAGAAGTCGTGTTTGTTGTTTCTTGCAAATTAGTTTTATTGAAAATTATGGATATATAAATTATCTGTGTTTGTAATTAAACTGATCCGAAAATCTATGATTATAAAAATAAAAAAAACTTTTAAAACGTTAAGAATTCCAAAGTTCCATGCTTTTGTCTACTTAAGATTTTGCTTCCACTGGTTTATATAGAATCGAATAGCAACGGTGAAGGGTAGTTTCGTCTTTTCATCCATTTTTTTTAGAGTAAACTTTTTTCCTTGTGGTCATCAAGTGACTCTTTCATCAGATCTATTATAGCTTTCATATGGGAAATGACAAAATTATCCTTGAATAAGATTGATCACTCTCACACTCCATGTGTTACTATCATACCCTAAGATATCTTTCCATTTGGGCTTCTTGTACTTCAGTTCTTCAAAGTCTCCATTAACACTATCTCCACCATATCTCCTTATCTCCTCTTCCATTCTTTTTCTCCAAAGTTTGTATCTTTTTCACTTTAATTTCATTTAAATCACTGAAAATTATGATTATAAATTATATGTAAGTTTTTTGCATGTTGATCATGTAGAGAGAATTAAATGGAGCCAAAAAGATCATCCCCAGTGTTCCTACCAGCTCAGAGGGACGTCCGTGGCTCACTTGAAGTATTCAACCCATCAACCAACGAGACCACCTCACAATTCCGGTCGCAACCCACCTGGCGGAGCTGGACGGAGTCACCACAGAACCACCCGGAACCATCACCACCACCGCCGTCAACTGAAGTCAATGATAATGTCACCCTCTCTTCCTCTCGCTCCGGCGGACTGCCAGCTGATGAGATCAACAAGTCATGGATGGCTCTCAAAGACCCTAATCCGCATGAGGCTCCGCCGGTGACGATGCCGCCGCAGTCCCCACCTTTTGCTAGGAGTTCCGCGGCGGGGGTAGTGGCACTGGCACCACAGTCACCGGGTGGAATACTGGGTGCGGCTGAACAAAGGGCGGCGGAGTGGGGTTTGGTTCTGCAAACTGACACCGAGACCGGTAAGCCGCAGGGGGTTAAAGTAAGAACCTCCGGCGAGGATCCGAATGCTAAACCCGGTTCGAGTAGAAGGGATTCGGGTAACTCCGTTCAGAGTTCAAGTGATGTTTCAGATGATGGATTGGGTAATTTAGCATTGATTTATAGTATTTAAGAAGTAATTTTTTAAACTTTATATTAAACAAAAATGCTTATTTGCAACACAAAAATGTTTATATTTTATAAATAAGAATTTATGTATTTTTTTTTCTAATAATTATTGCAATTTTAAGAATTATTTAAGATGATTTAATGATTATAGGATTATGGTTAATGTTAATTGTGTGTGTAAATTAAACATGTCTTCCTTTTATTATTGATCATTGGTGCAGGAAAAGAGAAAGGATTTCCGAGAGTATCAGAGGACTTGAAGGATGCATTATCGACATTTCAACAGACGTTTGTGGTTTCTGATGCTACAAAACCAGACTATCCAATTTTATATGCAAGTGCAGGTTTCTTCAAGATGACCGGTTATACTTCTAAAGAAGTAATCGGCAGAAATTGGTATAAATTTTTTTCATTTTATAATTTATCTTTATTTCTAAAGAAATTGACCCAAATGACCATATTCTTAACCAAATTGACATTTTAACCATTTCTTTCCCGACTTTACTAAAAAGACATTATGTCCGCAATTAGTGGGACCCACTAAACAAAAAAATTTACACCTTTTGGTTCAGGTCCATAATTATCATGGATCCGGTCCAAAACTCATTTTCCTTGAATATATAATATCAGATCTGTAAATGTCCACCTTGGAGGTTTAATAGGAAAATGGGTTTTTGGGTCGAGCCCATAATAATTACGGACCGATGGTTATGGGTCTGATCCAAAAACGTTGATTTATTTATCGTTTAGTTGGTTTGCAATCATAGCAGACCTAGGTATTACAGATCTAGTAACTTTTGGGTAAAGTCCGGAAAAAAAATAATAATTTATATTGCTTTATAATAGGTAAATACGACATTAGATACACCATAATTACCAAATATGGCAAAATAAGCATGTTTGGTTGGTTGAGTAATATAGCAAAGGAAAGAAAAGTCATATAATGTATGTAAACTTTTATGGTGGGTTTAAGTGATCTGTCAAAAAATAATTTGGTCAATTTTTAGAATTTATAAATAAATCTTAATTTAATCATGACCACAAAAATAATTATTAAAATAATAATAACTGAATAAACCATTAATTTTTTTCCAAAGAATTTAAACCATTAATTTATAAACTCCTGAACATTTTCTATTAATTGCATTTTTTTTAATACTAAATTTGGTGCATTAAATATGTCAAAAATAAAAAAGGAAATAATTAAACAATTTGTTTGAAGAATCATATTGCTCAGAATTATTGGAAAAAATCTGCTTTTAAGCGAATTGATTGTCATTTTGCTGCCTTTCTGTCACAAGTAACAGTGTTTTTTTGGCTATCTCAATGATTTTTATTTTTATTCACATATTTTTACTTTGGAAAAATTACCGTAAATTATCAACGCATTACTCAAGGGTCGTTTACCTAAATGCTTACTTGGTAAACGCTTTCCGTTAGGAGTCAACACTATAATTTATTTTATCGGGTAAAATTGTAGTTATCAAAACGTATTTATGCAATAATTTACCTGGTAAGCGCTTACCTGGGTAAAAGTTGTCACCCTCACTTACAGGGTAAGACTCTCTATCTTTATCATCGTTCTTACCGGGTAAGATTCTTGCCCCTTGCCATGCTCATTCGATGAAGAAAATTGTTCAATAAATACTTACCGAGTAAGCGTTTAATAAACGGCCCCTAATTACATTGGGTTGCAGCCGATTTTTACAGGGTGCAGACACGGACCCAGAAGATGTGGCTAAAATCAGGGAAGCGTTGGCGAAAGGTACGACATATTGTGGGAGACTCCTAAATTACAAGAAGGATGGCTCCCCCTTTTGGAACCTTCTCACTGTTTCTCCCATCAAAGACGAATCTGGAAACACCCTCAAATTCATTGGGTCAGTCTCTCCCGCATCCATATCTCTCTCTATATCTATACTATGTTATAAAGGATTTGATAAAAACTCTTAAAAACCATTTTTTATGCATAAAATACTGTTTATTGATGCATATTACTTAAAATTCAAGATTACAAGTAAATTATGCATAAGTACAACTTATTAAATCTTCATTTTTGAATTCGTATAACTAACTGCGGATAAACGTAATCAAATAAAAGATAAATATCTCATTTTAAAATATAAAAAATCTAAAATATAATCAGAATAATTATTGAGTTCTAACAAAATAATTAATTATTATCTTTATAATAATATTATATTATTAAATGAAATATAAATTACTTCGTTATTGAGTCTAAACTAAATTATAATAAAAAAGTCGTATTTAAAAATTACACATAATGAGGAATTTTAAATAGTTAATTTGATATTAATATCAATATATTTTTGTCAAATTCTTGTGATATCTTCAAAATCACATAAGACCACATTATAACATCAACCGAGATAAATAATATAACGAAATATTAAAATCAAGATGTATCTCGCTGCATTGCACTAGTAATCTTCTAGTATATATATATATATATATATATATATATATATATATATATATATATATATATCTATATATCATCATTATTGTTGTTGTTGATAAGACCAGATTCATTCGATGACTTAAAATAACCGAAAGATTTGCGTAACCTGACCATGACGGGTTTTTTTTAATGTCGTGTGGGTATGTTAAACCCATTTGAGTTGGTTGCGTTTTTGGGTAGATGACCTTCAACGTTCTAGTAATTAATGGTACTTTATGGTTATAGGACCAAGAATTATACACCATACATAATGGCGTCATAAATGAAGTTGGACAATCTAGCAACTCAAATAAGAAATGAATCGTTATGTGAACCTCTTTACAATACGATTTATGAAAATTGTTCTTACATAACAAGTTTTGTAAATGAGTTAATAGGGGTATATGACACAGTAGCGACTTGTTGTTAACGCTGTTTTATAAAACGAATAATAGTTGGTCAAAATTGATGTCACGTTAGGTATTCATAGAACGTCGAAAGACAGCTGGACATTCTTAAAAAAATGATTTCGTTGTAGTGCATGATTATCTTTAGGGTTGGGTTCCTTTAGAGGCCACTTACGCTTGGGTATATGACTCTGACCCACGTCTGATAACGTCCTTATCGATGGTCGATGGATATATAAACACATTTTTCTTTACCCTCACGAGATCAGATCCATCGTCATCCTATCAAATCGTACACCCCACATGATATGTTCCATTTTGTCTTCTCATTAAATAGTTTTCCTTTAAAAAGAACGTACAAAATTAATTACAGCATATTTTCCCAAAAGATCTGTATACGAAATGACCGGTGTACCTCCATCTGTTTTTCTCATGACAAAGACACAAACGTCTAAGTGACCGGCACGTTTCGGGGTTCAACCAAGGTTAGTTTAGTAATTTCACCCATTTGTATCCATTCCATTACTTAGGCATGGTGGTCCATATATGGACCATTGGAACCACAATATTTTGAGTTGATGGGTGCATGGGCCACCCTTTGGGGTCTTGTCTCTATTTCCCGTATGGCACTATTTGGTGTACCTTTTTTTATTTTCAATTTCTTAATAATTTTTTTGTTGACAATTTATTAATGGTTGTTACTATACGTACTGTTCCATCAACATAAAAACTCCAAAACTTGGCATGTGACTGTCACGTGATGATCACTTGTCTTAAATTTAAGGTTCTGACTCGTTCAGAAGGTGGAAATGCCAAATTGTGACTACCATACAGACGAATAGTAGTTTTGCATAATTACTGATATCTTATAGGGATCGTTTGCCAAACGATTACAGGGTAATTGTTTATATTTAAGAGTCATCATTCATTTTTATCTTATCGGGTAATATTCTCAGCCTTAAAAAAAATTGTTGGTAAACATCTATCACCCGGTAAGCATTTATCGGATAAGATTTTAGATTCTTGTCTTGCTTTTACGTGATAAGATTCTCGGTTCTTATTATGTTCTTCCAATAAAATTAGTGACCCGGTAAGCATAATTGGTAAACGGCCCTTTAGAAGTAAAAAGAACTTAAAAAAATCAAATGAAGGTCGATGTTCAATTTTTGGGTTAATTTGTGCATATCAAAAGCCTTTGGATACGAAAATGAAAGAACATATGTATTTCAGAACTTGAGTTGTCCTGAGACGTTTTAATAGAGTATGTATTCAATAAAGCTTTACTTTTATCTGATAAAAAACTATACATCTTATATAAATATGTTACAAAAAAATGTTTAAGGACAAGAGAACCAGAAAGAAGAACGACCACAAGAGGACCAAATATAGCACTAATGCTAAATTTTACCACTCAATTTACATTATTAATCAAAATAGCATTTTAGGTGGATTAAAGACCTGCAAAGTCGTCTGATGTGTTTTTAGTCTAACAGTTTTAAAGTTTTTCTTTGATTTCGAGTGGCTTTCTTTGGTTGATTTCGAGCGTCTTTATTGATTTTTCGGTTGATCTTCTTTATATTTTCTAATATCCTTGAGCATCCCTCAAAGTTTAACGGATACACCTTTCATACCTAAAAATATCCTACTTACAAAAATAAATTTAGCTGATAAACGGGAGCCCACTAAGACATACATAGGTACGTCCTTATCTTTAGTACAAAAGACGACCTTAGCAACCGTATTTTAACTTCAATTTGGTGGGTTCATTAAAAAAAACCGTTTCTATTATGTTTTTTTTATCATGTGTATTTGGACTAGCTTACGCACAAATTTCAAGGGTCTTACAAAACAACCGGGAAAACTTTTAGTAGTTTTACGAGACTTGAACCGGTGACCTTTGAGCTAACCCCTATTTATTATATCGTGACAATTGAAATGCATTAATTATTTCAAAATTCAAGAACATGTGGTATTTTACAACTGTTACAAATTCATAATCTATTGTATGATGGATTGTATTATCGAACAATTTGATGAATGGTGTTCATTTTTCATGTGGATTATACATATATAGAATGCAAGTGGAGGTGAGCAAGCATACCGAAGGAACAAAAGAGAAGATGCTCCGGCCAAACGGGTTGCCGGAATCTTTGATCCGATACGATGGTACTCCATTTTCCTCTTTGATCACATACTGTTTTTTTAATTAAACAGATAGTACTGATCGATGTGATTGATCCGACGGAAATCTTGCAGCTCGGCAAAAAGAGATGGCAAGTAGCTCGGTGACGGAGTTGGTGGAGGCGGTGAAAAGACCAAGATCACTCAGTGAGTCCACCAACCGCCACCCGTTTTCCAGGAACAGTGGCGACCAAGACACAACCAATGCGGTGGCGGGTTTTGGGCGGCGAAACTCTGCAGAGACTATGTTTCCTCCGCCGCCACCACCTCCGGCCAGGCGGAATTCACATGCCGGAGTAAGGACCATCACCACCATGCAGTCCATCAACGAGCTCCCTGAAAAGAAGCAGAAGAAAACAAAACGCCTTTCTTTCATTGGGTACTCAATAATATCCACCGTCTCTCGTTACAGTAATTAAAATGTTAATATAAATTCTTCTTTTGTTAGTAGTTTAACGGGACTCGTAGTTAATTTGATCAGTTATACATGATTATTTGGTAGTAGTTTAATTATAAAGAAAATGTCTTATTTAATAAGCTTTTAGTGGAGACTTTATACAGAAAGCCAAGTTTTTCTAAACTTGTTTCTTGCAATAATAAAACATGTTTTTTTTTATCTATGAAAAAACCTCCACCGAGACAACATATAACTATATATATATAATGTAGAAACCCATTTTGTTGTAGTGTAAGATCCATCTTTTTGATTTTTAAGATCAAATTATCTTAATGCATTGCGAAAAGAATACGTTGTATGCATGTAATGTTACTTGGAGTACAAGAAACGTGAATTCCTGTATACGTGTGTATATATAATTAAGGATTCTAATGCATATGTTTATGATATAGGATTAAGAAGAATAACCGAAAAAGTAGCGAAGAATTTGATGATGGTTTCGAAGGAGATGTAAACATTCAGGACATTGACGGTGAGGTTGACGACGAAGATGATGAATTTGCACGAAATAAGGATGTTCAATCGAGGCCCGAAAGCTTGGACGACAAAGTACGAAAGAAAGAGATGAGAAAGGGTATTGATCTTGCAACGACACTTGAACGTATCGAGAAAAACTTTGTCATCACCGATCCACGACTTCCCGATAATCCCATTGTAAGTCTAGTACTTTACTGAATTACCAATCAGTAAATTTATCCGTCAGATTTGAAGTAGAAGCTCGTTAGATTACTCTCTAAAAAGCAATTAACATCTGATAATTTTTTACTTGGTACCAATTACTAGTAATTCAATGGCATTTTTGTTCCAATATATTTGTGAACGGAATTCTATGACGTCTCAAAATAATTAGTTCGAAATTTCAGAATTTCTAACATTTTCATGCTTTTGATTGCTAGATTTTTGCGTCCGATAGCTTCTTAGAGCTAACGGAGTATAGCCGTGAAGAGATCCTGGGAAGAAATTGCAGGTAAGCGACCCCTTCGTAGATTTTCAGTAACAATTATCCAAATCTACGTAATGTAATTATATATGCGTACGACCATGCCTTAAAATGGACTGTTTAAATGCTTTTTTCTGCATCTTTTTAGTGATGGATTATAATCTTCCTACATCGTAACTTTGTTATGTTTTTTTATCGGAAGGTTTCTTCAAGGGCCAGAAACTGATCCATCGACCGTCAAAAAAATAAGAGATGCAATCGATAACCAAAGAGAGGTTACCGTACAACTCATCAATTACACGAAAAGCGGTATATACACACACACAAAACTATACTTATATGTTTGTGAATATCAAAAAATTCAAAGAAAAACATAGGTTTATTCGTCGCTAAATCTCCTTACGCTGCAATCAATCGATCAGGCAAAAAGTTCTGGAATTTGTTTCATCTGCAGCCGATGCGTGATCAAAAGGTGCTGTTTCTAGGTGGTCTAATGAATATATGATGCCCGGGAAATACACAAAATGTCTACGTTTTCAGATCCATTAATTGACGGGTTTTCTAAAACCCGTCAATTAATGGATCTGTTTTTGGATTATTCTGAGCATTTCCTGGAAAGAAATCTTTATCGTTTAAGTTAAAATAGATAGATATAAAGATTATATGTATTTTGTGCTTTATAGGGAGAAGTACAATACTTCATTGGAGTACAATTAGATGGAAGTCAGCATGTTGAGCCACTTCACAATTGTATACCTGAAACTACAGCTAAAGATGGTGCAGTTCTGGTAACTAGAATCTGATCAGAAACCCTACTAGCCTGCCTATACTTAATTTGTTGTATCTACGTAAACGGGATATGGGCGATTTTGATGGTTGCAAAAGTATCGTGTTTCGGCCATTTTTCAGGTGAAAGAAACAGCAGAAAACGTCGATGAAGCAGTACGAGAGCTTCCAGATGCTAATATGGTAACATCTTGAACATAAAAACTATTCTGTAAAGATATTTCTACACCGAATTATAATTGAATATGGAGTGAAATTACTTGATTATACGCAGAGCCCGGATGATTTATGGGCAAAACATTCGAATCCGGTTCACCCGAAGCCACATAGAAGGGATACCGCAGCCTGGAAAGCTATTTTAAAGGTACAACGCCCTTAAATCAATTTTATAAGACGTCAAATATGTTTAAATGTTCTAATAAACTATTTTATAGGACTTTAGTTTATTGGAGCAAGTAGTTGTTTGTCGTAAATGTGTTAAATTAAGTTGGTGGGATGTTTTTGAGCAATTTAACAAATTTAATCACTTTTGAAATATCGCTCTGTAAGTCGTTTTATATGGCAATATTTGAAATTGTCTTATAAAAACAAATTTACTCGATGTCTGGTTTATGTAGGTTATCGAGAGTGGAGAGAAGTTAGGACTCAAGCATTTTAGGCCCGTAAAACCTCTAGGATCTGGCGATACAGGCAGTGTTCATTTGGTCGAGTTATGTGGAACGGGAGAATTTTTTGCGATGAAAGCAATGGATAAAGGTGTCATGATCAACCGTAACAAGGTTAGAACATTGAGTTTCTACTTCTTTTATGACCCAATATTCCATCGCCAAAATTTCCTACCATTTGTTTCCTCCATTTCCGTCACAAACTCACAGTTTTTTACACGAAATAGGTGCATAGAGCTTGTGCCGAAAGGGAAATCTTGGATATCTTAGACCATCCGTTTCTTCCAGCATTATACGCTTCATTTCAGGTTAGTTCTCGTATTCGGTTTTCAGAGTCTCATCTTTCCTAGATCAGTAGAAAATCTAGTTTTCTAGAATTTCTGATATAGTTTCTAGAAATTCTGTCAACCTGTAACAAATGAAAATGTTGTTGTTTACAGACACAAACTCATGTCTGTTTGATCACCGACTATTGTCCTGGGGGAGAACTTTTTATGCTTTTAGACAGACAGCCGATGAAGGTCTTGAAGGAAGATGCAGTAAGGTATGAACTCTAATTAGACACTCGAGATTACTGTTAAGGCCAAAGGGTGGTTTGAATTCCATAATTCGTGTTCTTTTATTGATAATTCCAACATAAAAGAATTCGTATTCTTTTCGTCATAGATTCTATGCTGCTGAGGTGCTCGTGGCGCTAGAGTACCTTCATTGTCAAGGTAGGCCGAAAGTTTCCAACTGTTTGCAAGCAAAATAACCATCAAATCCGTTCGGTTCCATCAGCAGTTATCTAACACCACACGTATTTGACGTTCTATTAAGCCAGTTCTATTGTAGTGTCGGTTGTTTTTTAAATGAATCTTGTAAATCGATGGTGCAGGTATTATTTACAGAGATCTGAAGCCAGAAAACGTATTGATACAAAGCACTGGGCATGTTGCATTGACAGATTTTGATCTTTCCTGCTTGACATCTTGCAAGCCTCAGGTACATATATACATGTTTGATGGTCTGTGTCTATCTTAAGAGAGAGGAGGTTCCTGCATGTATACAGGTTTGCGGGTCTGTGTCTGAGCAGACGTGGACTTCCAAACAAACACTTTGCTACGAGAGGCCGAAAATTAAGTTACTGATGTCATCCTAGATTGTTCTAGTTAAGTTTTAGATGCTTATGAAACCTTTTTGATTTCTTTATTCAGCTTTTGGTTCCTGAAATAAGTGAAAAGAAGAAGAAGAAGAAAAAGAAGCATCAGAAAGGTCAAGAGACTCCGATTTTCATGGCGGAACCAGTGCGGGCATCGAATTCTTTCGTTGGAACCGAAGAGTATATTGCTCCGGTTCGTCTTTTTGTCGATCAATCCCTTTTCCTTCCGCTTCCATTTTTTCGATAATTCTTAGATTTTTTTACAATTTTACAGGAAATCATAAGTGGAGCTGGACATTCTAGTGCAGTGGATTGGTGGGCTCTTGGTAGATTTTCTACTTCTCTTTATCAATTTTTGTTTACAGATTTTTTAGTTTTACAACAATAAAATTGAGTATTAGCGACGGGATTAATCCATCGCTATGTAGCGACGATTAACGATCAGATAGTCCACAAACCTGTTCTCTTGCTAATAGCATCACCCACGAGCTTTTAACTCACGGACTATCAGAGACCGATCAGTGACAGGATAGGCCTTTAGTGATGGATTTACGACGGAATTTTCTCTTGCTGATAGTCCTCGGTTTTGTAGTGAATTAATGGCTAGATTTCTGGTTGCGATCACAGGTATTCTTCTGTACGAAATGTTTTACGGGTACACACCATTTAGAGGAAAGACGAGGCAAAGAACATTCGCCAACGTTCTTCATAAAGATCTCAAGTTTCCTGGTAGCATTCCGGTGCGTCTTTTTCCTTCAGAAATGACCTTAATTACGAATTCTAACATAAGAAAATTGGGCCAAAAAGTATATAAGTGTCTTAACAGACTTCTTTATAGAACTTGAATTTATTGGACCAAACAATTGTGTGTCCAATATAAGCATTGCAATAAGTTTATAAGATGTTTTTTTTGGCATTTTAACAAGTTTTTAAGGACATTTTTAAAAATAAAGCGTCTTATTAGTTTTTTTACAAAACACTTTTAAGAATTGTCCTAAGAAAACATTTTTTATAGGACACTTGTTTTTATAAGAAATATTAGGACACTTTATTTCAGAAGTGTCCTAAAAACATGTTAGGGTAACTAAAATAATCATATAAACTTATTGCAACGCTTTTACATATGATACACAATTGTTTGGTCCTCTAAAGCAGTCGATTACGTCATTTAGACATTTTTGGTCTTTTGAAACCCGATTTTGTTATGGTGCCATGTTCCAATATCTAACTTTTCATATCAGAAAAGATGATATGATTAACGAAACAGAATTTACAAGAATTTCGATATAATACAGGTAAGCCTCCAAGCAAAGCAGTTGATTTATAGATTGTTGCACAGAGATCCAAAGAACCGGTTGGGTTCGCACGAAGGTGCAAACGAAATAAAACGACACCCTTTCTTTCGTGGTATCAACTGGGCTTTAGTTCGTTGCCAGGTAAGCTTTCAAATATCCGTTTTCAATTGCTTTTGTTTTGTCGGGTGCTTTATCTGATAGATAGACATCAGTTTGATTCACTGATTTAGAAGGTTGTAAGCATTTGAATACACGGTTTTTTAACCGCTTGGCTCGTTTTATTTTTCGCTAGTTTTTACATTTTTAAGGACCTTATTTGTTAATTTATATAAACCACGTGCAGAACCCTCCTAAGTTGGAGACTCCTGTGTTTAATGGAACGGAAGATGAAAAAGTCAAAGATGTTGACTATGGACTTCAAGACTTGGAGAATAATGTTTTCTAATCGAAGATTCTAGAAGCACTGTGTGTGTGTGTGTGTTTTTTTTTCTTTTATTTTTTTGCATTTCTGAAGTTCATTAGAAGTAATGGTTTCAAATTGTGAATTCTATTTTCTTTATTTTTTAAAGCCTTTTCTATTTATAGTTTAAAGAAATAAAAGAAAATCCAACATTATTTGTGCAATCTTTTTTATTTATATAAGTTATTAGAATAATTGATATTTTTTTTTTTTTTTTTTAGCTCTTAATTTTTTAAGAATATATAAAACATTAAATATAAATTATTATTATATTTTTATTTAAACTTATTCAAATGTTATCCATTTAAAAAAAATAAAAAATTCACAAAAAATACTTTAAGAACAATTCGATTTCGGTTTTGTAATTAAATTTTACATTTTACTATATTGCACATATATATTTATAATATTGTTTATTTAGACGTAGATGTCATTAGGCATGGCAACGGGATGGGGATGAGGTGAGTTTTGTAATCCCGGCTCCGTCCCCGGTTTGTAGTAACGTCCCCCGGCCTCGGCCCCGTTCCCGGTCAAATCTTTAGCAATACCCGGTAAAACCCCGGTCAAACCTCGCAAATAGTATCATTTAGTTTGATTCTACCGGAGATCACCGGCCCCGTCTCCGTCCCCAGTTTGAGTAACATCCCCGTCCCCGGTTTGAATCTACCGGGGATCTCCGGTCTCGGGACCCGATTTAGCGGGGAATCCCCGTTCAGATCGGGTGAACCGGGTTCTCCACTGGATCGGGGTAAATCACCATCCCTAGATATCATGTGCAAGGGTGATATTATGATAGTACTTGATGATCGATACTGAATGCATCTCCAATCAGAGATTCTTAAACCTGATGGATCGGTTCATAAATTTTTACATCATTGAGAAGAAGTGGTACATGCCAATGTGGAAGGAGAAGGGTTTATAAGGATGAACCGTTTCATCAAAATAGTGTGATCCAATCCAATTAAATAACAAAAAATAATTATAATTTATATTATGTAATATGTACTCGTTCAGGGTTAGGATATATATAGGGGTTTATTTAAGGGAGAACTGATTAGTTTGTGGTAATCGTGAGATCCAATCTCAACTACAAATTAATAGATAAATTAGGAAATTTATAATTTTGAATTAAAATTTTAATGCAATGACATTTTATGTATTTCTCTCCTCTCTAAAAACCATAGTCAGTAAAATATAATAGAGAAGAATTTTTTGAACAAAACATGCGTCAACGACATGTAACCCACACAAATCATTTAAGATGTAATAGTTGTTATCGGAAAAGTTTATAGAGGAATAACATTCGCTATGGACAATAAAAACATTCTACATAACAAAAAATACAATATATAATGCATAGAAAAACAAATGTACAAAATATAATAACATAGAATAGAAAACACTCATCAACACACAAATAACCTACTCAAATTATAAAAATAAAATGTAACAATTCTTACATAAATTGTATGGAGAAAGAATAATGATATCATCGATAAAAAAATTCTCTAAAAAGAACACAAAAATAACAACAGATAGCTTACATAAAAACATAAAATAAATTATAAAGAATGTAGCTTTCATCTTGATTAGACATTCGATTGTGTAGTTTGCAATATGATGGAGAAATTAGTAAAACAAAAGAAAAAAGGTTAAATGAGATATAATATATAGATGAGATAAAAAATGGAATAGAAAAACGAAAGGTCTAGAATATTTATGAGTTAATGAAAGACAATTAATATAATCAACAAAATAAATCTTAAAAAATCTAAAAGTTTGAAAAAAAAAAAGAATTATGAAATAACTTTTTCACAATGTCACATAAGAAACTTCATATATTACTTTTAAATTTATATAAAATAATGATGTCAAATGCTCAATTAAAGATGTCTATGGCTTGACAAATTATGTTATCATTTTAGAGAAAATAATGAAATACATATTTTTCATTCACAGGTAGAAAAGTATTTAACATTTTGTAAATTCAAAACAATGAGAAATTTTCTTTTAAAAATTATCTTGTGACAATGTGTCACACCATTTATTGTAAGTTTATTTTAATTAGTAGATGGAAAAATGAAAAGAGCATAATGAATATTCCTATGAAGTTATGTAATGTGAAAGTTAAAACTAATTAAGTTGGAAGTGAAATTATCAAAGAAATCTTCTTATAATGAAATACATATTTATCATTTAGAGTAGAATAATATATAACTTATTTAATATTATAATAACATTGACAAATAATTTAGGAGCATATGGAGGGTTTGAAAGTTTCACCTCCAAGGATGAAAATGAAAATGTTGGAGGTTAAACTTTTTAAAATTACCAAAATGACCTTATGCTAATAAATTTCATATTTTAAAAATAAGAATGAAAAAGTCTTTTACATATCAAATATTTTAAAAAATAAAAAATCTAAAAAAAAGGTAGACTTCTAATGTTCAGAGGAGGACACCTCATTATGTTTGGTTTCTTATTAGAAATAATGTATTGATAAATCAAAATAATGAGAAAAAAAGATAAATAAAATAGAAAACTTCTAATTAAACAACCTTTTGATATAAATAAATAAATAAATATATATATATATATATATATATATATATATATATATATATAT